CACCACCTGCCAAAACTTAAGCTAGAATCCAATCAGGCCCCAAGGTCCAATTGCTAGCTTATAAGAAATACAAGGAACAAGAAAACATGCTAAATAACAACGCAGATCACAATCAGCCAAATCCAGAATGCAAAGAACTCTACAGGGCAAATGACCTAGTCCAGCAAATTAATTGCAAGGAAAGAAAAGGAGAGAGGAAGAGAGGAGAGGAAACGTTTAAATAAACTAAAAAGGACTGCTCATGGGTATGGGGTTTCTCTAGGGATGATGAAAATGTTCTAAAATTGACTGTGGTGAGGGTTCCACAAATCTGAATGCTAAAGAACATTCAATTTTACACTTTAATGAATTGTAATAGTGTGTGAATTACAGTTTAATAAATAACTAAATATCTAGAGAGAGCGAAGACATAACAACCATAGATCCTAGTCAGATTCTGATTTAAACAATTTTTAAAAATGCATGAGGCTATTGGATTATTTAATGGCATTAAAGAATTGTGAGGTAGCAGCACAATTCACCATAGCTAAGATTTGGAATCAGCCTAAGTGCCCATCAGTAGATGAATGGATTAGAAAACTGTGGTACATCTACACGATGGAATACTATGCTGCTGTAAAAAAGAAGGAACTCTTACCATTTGCAACAGCATGGATGGAACTGGAGAGCATTATGCTAAGTGAAATAAGCCAGTCAATGAAGGAAAAATACCACATGATCTCACTCATACATGGATAATAAAGACCATTACAAACTTTTGAACAATAATAGATACAGAGGCAGAGCTGCCTCAAACTGATTGTCAAACTGCAGCGGGAAGGCCAGAGAGGGTTGGGGGGCAGAAGGGAGGGGAGCTCTCTGTAAAAAATCAATAAAATATATTTTTAAAAAAAGAATTGTGAGGAGGTTTTAGGTGAGATAATGGCATTGAGGATTTTTATTCCTTATATTTTAATGATAGAAATTATTTACCAATGAAATTATTTCTTAGATTTGCTTCAAAATAATCTAGTTGAGGGGCTTGGGAGGCTGTACAAGAAACAAGATTGACATGGGTGTAATTGTTGAAGCTGAGTTATGGTGCAGAAGTCTCATCAGACTGTTCTCTCTACTTTTGAATAGACAAATGCATTGAGAAGCTTTTTAAAGATATACAGGTGCTTAGGCCTCACCCCCAGAGATTCTGGTCTCTATAATACTGGAGGGGATAGGCCCCATGTGCACCTCCAGACCCTTTCCTCAGAGCTTTTCCCGTGGAGACCAAGTGTTTTAATCCAGCACCAGGTACTATCAGGTGACAGTGTATGGTACAGCCTTCATCAAAGGATTCCATTAGGGAAACCCCAACAGCCACACAGCTGAGCTTTGATTAAAAAATATATATATATATGCTTCCCCTTGTCAATGCTTTAGGTATTGTCTACCTGATACACTCACCAAAAACACTAATCCAGGCACAGAGAGAAATTGGGTAATAGTCTGCAATAAATTGGGTTAGGAGCAAAAATATTAATAAAGTTAGAAGTTATTAAATAAAGCCACACATGACATGCCCACAGCTAATAGCATATTTAAAGGTAAAAAGGTTTAAAAGTTAATAGCTTTTCTTCTAAGATCAGACACACAACAAAGGTACCCACTCTCCCCACTTTTATTCAACATAGTAGTGGCAGTCCTACCAAACAATTAGGCAAGAAAAAGAAAAGAAAAGAAAATGCATTCAAATTGGAAAGGAGGAAGTAAAACTTCCTCTATTTGCCAGTGACATATTATATTTAGAAAGCCCTAAAGACTCCACACACAAAAACTGATAGAACTAATAAAAAAATCAGTAAAGTTTCAGGATATAATATCAACATACAAAACTCAAATTTTTGGTACACTAATAACAAACTATGAGAAAGAGAAGTTCAGAAAACAATTCCTGCCTGGCTGTGGTAGCTCAGTGGATTAAGCATCATCCCCTGGACCAAAAGGTTCCCAGTTCAATTCCTGGTCAGGGCATATGCCTGGGTTGCAGGCTCGATCCCCAGTAGGAGGTGTGCAAGAGGCAACTGATCAATGATTTTCTCTCTCATCATTGATGTTGTCTCTCTCTCCCTCTCCCTTCCTCTCTGAAATCAATAAAAATATATATATTTTTAAAAATAAAGCAATTCCATTCACAACTGCATCAAAAAACATAATACTTAGGGGAAAAAATTAACCAGGGAGGTGAAAGACCTGTACACTGAAAACTATAAAATATTGAAGAAAGAAATTAAAGACACAAATAAATGGAAAGATATTCCATGCCCACGGATTGGAAGAATTTATATTGTTAAAATGTCCATACCAGTCAGAGCAATCTAAAGATTCCATGCAATATCTATCAAAATTCCAAGGGCATTTTTCACAGAAATGCATAGAATAAACAATCCTAAAATTTTGTATGAAACAACAAAAGACCTCAAATAGCCAAAGCAATCTTAAGAAAGAACAAAGCCAAAGACATCCCACTTTCTGATTTCAAATTATATTACAAAGCTATAGTAATCAAAACAGTATGATATTGGCATACAAACAAACACACAAATCAATGGAACAGAATAGAGAGCCCAGAAATGAGCCCATGCATATACAGTCAATTAATTTATGACAAAGGAGCCAAGAATATATAATGGGGAAAGGATGGTCTGTCTTTCAACAAATGGTGTTGGGAAAACTAGACAGCCACAAGCAAAAGAATGAAATTCGTTCACTATTTTACATCAATCACAAAAATCAACTCACAATGTATTAAACAGCTGTGACCAGTGTGGCTTAGTTGGTTGAGCGTCAACCCATGCACGGAGAGGTCGCAAGTACAGGAGGCAGCAAATAGATGTTTCTCTCTCTCCCTCTCTTTTCCTCTCTCTTTCTCAAATCAACAAAAGCACATTGTTTTAAAAATGCATTAAATATTTTGAACATAATATTTGAAACTGCAAAGCTCCTACAGGAAAGGATAGGAGGTAAATCCCTTGACATCAAGCAAAGGAAACGAAAGCAAAAATAAACAAGTGGAACGACATGCAACTAAAAAGCTTCTGCACAGCAAAGGAAACAATCACAAAATGAAAAGGTAACCCACTGAATGGAAGAACAAATATGTCTGATAAGGGATTAATATGCAAAATAAAGAACTCACACAACTCAATAGCAAAAAAAATTTTTTTGATCTTTTTAAAAGGGCAGAAGATCTGAATAGACATCTTTCCAAAGTTGTACAAATGGCCAGTAGGTACATGAAAGATGCTCAACATCACTATTCATCAGGAAGAAGTCAACCAAAACCACATGAGGTATCACCTGTTAGAATGTCACCAAAAAGACAAGAGAGTGTTGGCATTGTTGATGGTGTAGACCAGTGATGGCGAACCTTTTGAGCTCTGCATGTCAGCATTTTGAAAAACCCTAACTTAACTCTGGTGCCATGTCACATATAGAAATTTTTTTATATTTGCAACCATAGTAAAACAAAGACTTATATTTTTGATATTTATTTTATATATTTAAGTGCCATTTAACAAAGAAAAATCAACCAACAAAATGAGTTCGGGTGTCACCTCTGACACGTGTGATAGGTTCGCCATCACTGGTGTAGACCCTGAGAAAAGATACCTACAAGAAGGGCTCGTGGTGTGGTTAACTGGGCTCAAATTTTTAAAAAAACACCAGACTAGCAGCTAAGTGAAATACGCCAGACACGTGCAATCTTTAGGGAAAAAGGGGGTGGGGGGAAGGGACTAAAACAGAGCAGAAAAGTGGTTGCTGAGCAGTGGGGAAACGGAGAGGTGGTAAAGTGTACCGATTTTCAGTTTTCAGGTGAACAAGGTCTGCAGATCTGGTGTGACACATGGTGACTACAGTGATGACACTGTGTTGTATAACTGAAATTTGCTAAGAGGGTAGAATTGAATGCTCTCACACACAGAGAATAGATAAATGTGTGAGGTGATGGATGTGTTAGTTAACTGAGTGGGAGGGTCCTTTCACAATGCAGACATACAGCAAACCCAGACAATGTATGCTTAAAATGCCTTACAATTTTATGTCAATTATACCTCAGTAAGCTGAAATTAAATGAAGAAAGAGGTGATGACTGCCCCCTGGTGCATCGTCATAACAATATGGCTTTGAGACCATGAAAAAAATTAGTTCCGCTCCAGCTGGCTAACGGATTTTTTCAAATCTGTTGGCAAGGTCATGAAGTCCAGCAGGATCACTTACATGAGGTAGTCAGAGTCCGCTCCTCCTCCTTTCACATTTCATAATAAGGTGATTATGTGGAAAGGGCTTTGAAACAGTGAGGTGCTGTGTATGCGCTGGTCAGGAGAAGTTACTATCCCTTTGGTCCCAGGACAAAAATCCCTCTTCCCGAGCTCCCTCTGGCTTCCAGAGCCAACTCCCCCAAAAGCTGAGTGGATGAATCAGGAGCTAGATCTGAAGAAGCAGAGGACAAGGGGACCCCATTATTAAAGGGGATGCGGGCCCTGGCTGGTGTCGCTCGGTGATTAGAGTGTCAGCCCGCACATGGAAGGGTCAGGCATTCGATTCCAAGTCAAGAGAATGTACCCGTGTTGTAGCTTCAACCCTGCCCTGGTTGGGGTGCCAATCAATGTGTCTCTCTCACATTGATGTTTCTCTCTCTCTCTCTTTCTCCCCCCACCCCCAACCTTTCACTATTTCTAAAAATCAATAGAAAAAATATCCTCAGGTGAGGATTTTAAAAATTTTATAAATAAATAACTAAATAAAGGGGCTGCCGCACTGGAGAGCCCCACCCCCAGCCAGAAGGGCCAGGGGCGTGCTGCCTTACCCTTTCCAATGGCCTGTCAGAGACGTAGCAAATAACTCAGATGGACTGGACTGATAGGATCTGTGGGTTCACCCTGAGGCCTCGTCCTTGCTCCCCGTGCCCTCCTCCTAGACCTGCCACCGTGCTGCGTGTGGTGCCACCTGCTCTGTCTGCCTCACAGGGAGTCGGAGCGCGTGGCGGACATGGCTTTCCTGGGCACCCGGGCCGGCCTCCTCAGAAGCAGCTTGTTCGTGGGCTCGGAGAAGGTCTCCAACAAGTGAGTGTGCCGGGGCTGGAGTGGGGTCCCTGTAGGGTGCTCCCGGGCGTGTGCTGGCAGGGCATGTGTGAACCCCTGAAGTGCGAGGAGGGTGGAAGGTTGGGGCTTACGGAGTGGGAGGTCAGAAAAGTAACCCTTCCCCCCAGGCTCAGACTCATCCTGGAGGTGCCCCCGGAGAGCAGGGAGGGCAGCCCAGGGGGCAAGAGAGCCCCCAGACTGTGAAGTCGGGAGGGTTAGTCAGAGGTTCGCTTCCACAGAAGGAAACCCAGAAATTGTTTTCCCCCTGGGGCAGGTCTCCGTGTGACAAGCTAACTCTTCTGGCTGCGTCCCCTCCTTTCTTGACACTTTCCCATCCCCTAAGCCAGCAGGTCTCAACTGCAGGCAATTTGCACCCGCCCAACCCCAGGGCCGTTGGGTAACGTCTAGAGACGTTTGGGTTGCAGTAGCTGGAGGGGTGTTGTCACTGGCATCTAGTGGTGGAGGCCAGGGATGCTGCTAACCCTCATGCAGAGCGCAGGGCAGCCCCTGGCAGAGTGTCAGTTGTGCTGAGGCTGGGAAGCCCTGCTCCAAGCAAAGCCCAGCTTTGCTGCCCAGGGACCAGCCAGCCCACTGTCCTCCCTGCCTAGTGCTGCAAAGGGGGAGTGGGAGCCCAGGGAGGGGTCTGGAAGGGAGGGGGCTGAGCAGAGCCACCCGAGCTCTGCAAACCACCAGGCTCAAGTAGGAAGGGGGGCCACCGGGCATCTGGAGGAGAAGAACCCAGGGGCTCCTGAGCAGACTTGACCCCGTCCTCGCCTCCCACCCACTGGCCGTTCCTCTTGCTAAACCCAAGCGCACTCAGCTATGGCGCGCCGTCTTGAGCCTCCTCCCGCACTCTGTGTCCGGTCCCTGCTTGCTGGAAAGCTGAGGCTTTCTAGGAAAACAAATGAAGTTGCTCTCCCCTCTCCCCACCTCCCCTTACTTCCTCAGAAGTGGAAACAGAGGGAAGCATGCTGCCTTCTACCCTTTCCCATGGCTGTCAGAGACGTAGCAGATAACTCAGATGAAGGACTGATAGGTAAACTGTGGGTTCACTCTGAGGCCTCAAACAGCGTGGGAAACTTTCCTCCCCAAGCTTACTATCCTCTCATACTTCCTCATCCCTTAAACTTCACCCCAATCGAAAATCACACAGGTCTTTGGCCAAGGTTGGACAAGTGAACCCTGTCCGACCGTGTGAAGGGAGAAAGCATCCTGGCACTCCCGGCGCCTCCTTCTACATCTCCTGAACGGCAGGGGGAGACCTCACACAGAGAGGCCTTCCTGAGTGATGAGCCAGCCACCATGACCAGCCTCACATGCACTGCACAACCCCAGGGGCTCCCCACACCCAAGCCGGGATGTGACTGGCAGCTAGGAATTGGGCAACAAGGCAGGTCTGCTTCTGGGACATGTGACCAGGCAGCCCTAAGGTCCACCTCAGCTCTCCACCTCACTGGTTAGCCACAGTGACGTTTTTACACCCCACCGCTTCTCCCTGCCTCCCACTCTGCTTCTGGACCAATGCTCCCTTCTGCTGGCTGGTGTGTGCTCAGGGAATGCTAAGCCATAATTAGCAAGATAAAGCTGCTCGAAAAGAGAAACCTCATAATGCATTCTAAAGCCTAGAGGCAAGAGCTTTGGAAGTAACCATTTTGGGGGAATTTATGCTCCTGTATTAGCTCAGCGATGAGGTGACTATACAATTTCCATTCAGAAACGCTAATTAGTCAGACAAAAAGAAATTAGACTGTATCCAAAAGAAATAAACCCTGCAGGCAAAGCAGTTAAAATAAAAATGGAAAGTATTCTTTCAAAATACAGGCGCCATACCTCTTCTAGCTCCTAATGTGCCATCAGATACAACACATTTGACTCTGGAAGAGGCAAGAATTGCTGGAGACATCGTCTGGGACGCCACCAATTAGCTCATATTTTCTACCATGAAAACAGAGGGGAGTTGCTCTCTTGGCCCAGCCAAGATAACGGTGTGTGAAAGGAAAGGGAGAAACATGTTCCCAGGTGTGAAGGGAGGAACCAAATCTCTCTCCTTGCAGGAAGTTCCTGACCCCTGAGGACAAGGCCAGCGTGTTCACCATGGACCACTTCCCTCTGTGGTACCGCCAGGCCGCTGAGCAGCCTGCTGGCAGTTTTGTCTTCAATCTCCGTACCCCAGAGGGGCCAGGTAATCCACACCCCATGCTCCCGGGCCGGGCGGGACCAGGGCATCCCTCTCCCTCCTCTGATATAAAGCAGAAGGCCCAGACTACCGGGTTCCTTCCGGTTTTCCTCCTGGTGCACAGTAGCGACTTGAGGAAGCTCGCTGGGCCTTGCCACACAGCTGGTCCCTGCGCCGTGTATAGGACGCATCGTCGCATTCTCTGACCAGCAGTCAAAGATGGCGGTTAAAAATCTAGCATGGAACAGAGGACGCCACACAGCTGGTCCCTGCGCCGTGTATAGGACGCGTCGTCGCATTCTCTGATCAGCAAAGATGGCGGTTAAAAATCTAGCATGGAACAGAGGAAAGAGATTTGACCAAAAATCTAGAGGAGATGAATTTTAGCCCAAATTCCAAATAGAAGGGTATTGGATGAGTTTCTCTCTAAGATTCTTCTGTTTTTCTAAACATCTGAGTATCTTTGAAAATTCCTTAAACCTCCAGGTGAAAGTAGCACTTTACTTGCTGACGCCACTGCCCCCCAAGGCTCTTCCCAAACAGGGAAAGCAGCCTGGGCTCCACTCCCTGGGGTCTCCCATGGCAGCAACACTGAGCTCCTGGCCTGCTCCTCAGAAACACCCCATAAAAAGGGGCGCCTCTCCCTGGCAGGCCACTGGGGGCTTGAAGGGTCAGGGCAGCCAAGGTTGGGCCCCATGGACCAAGCCAGCAACCCCCACTAGTCCAAGGACCAGGAAGGAGCTCAGAGCTGCAGGCACCCAACTCCACCCAGCCCCCACTCTGAAAAATGGCTGCAAAAGGAAAAATGAAGTGACTTTAACAGAGCACCAAGAAAATAGTAGAATGTTTCAACAGAAAGGGACCTTGGAAGGCGCACAGCCTCACACTCTTGGTTTCCATGTGAAGAGACTGTGGCCTACAGAGGCAGAAGGACTGGCCCAGGGCTCCAAGAGTGTGGGCAGAGCTAGCGCTCCACTGGGTCACCTCTGGGGCAGCCTAAGCCCAGCGGTGGAGCAAGAGGGCCTAGAAAGATCCACCACCCCCCCCCCCCCCCCCCCCCGGGCCAGAGTGAGCCCAAGAGGAGGGGGAACAGAAGGAGGAAGAGGGTGGAGGACGGAGACATCTGAAAGGAAGGGGCGGGCTGGGAGTCAGTTGGAATGAAGAGTTGCATTTCCGCTTCAAGATGTCCCCCACCAAACCCTTCCAGCCACCACTTCCATTTCTGGTGGAGAAATGCTGAGGAGGCCCAGGTGCCCTCGGGCTTCCCTGGGTCTGTGCCCTCTGGATGGCATCTTCACCTTGTGCTTAAGCCCACCCTCCGTCCTATGCCTGTTCCTCCCACCTGATGCATCACCACTGTGCTTTACAAACTGCTTCTCCACATGGAACACTCTTATCTGTACAGCCCTCTACAGTGAATGCTGTTAGCTCCTCCTGCCCAGGCCCCCCCACACACACACTCACACACACCCCTCCGCTCACACAGGGAGAAGCTGAGGCTCAGAAAGGTTCTGTGTCTTGCCCGGGAACACACAGCGAGGGAGCCACGGAGCCATCCTAAAACCAAGGTCTGCCCCCGAATTCAGGGCCTCGCACTGAGTGGAAGGCAGGAAGGGGAGCGTCAGGGAGTGCGGTCACTCCTGGTGAAAGCTCAGAGGGAGGTGCTCAAAGCCGAGGTGAAGTCCCTTCTCACACTGTCCACTCAGAGCCGGAGCGAGCAGCTCTTCCTCTCTGGCACCAGCTCCAGCAGCACCGAGGGCTCCCAAGGAGGGGCTCCCACCCGAGGAGGTTCTCTGGCCCCTGCCCCCAGCCCAGGAGGATGCTCCCTCCTGCCCGCATTGTCACTGGGACTTGCCTGCTGGTTGCTGGGGAGCTTTTTGTGGCGTGAGGTAGGAGGTGGGTGGGTGGGAACTGAGCTGAAAGAAGAGGGGGAAGCTGGCAACCCAAAAAGAGGGAAGGCTGAGTTGGGAGGCAGGAACTCACTCCTTTTTCACACCCTCGCTCATGCATATGCTTAGAGACACATAGACACCTCTGCACACTCCCATTCTCCCCGAAGACAACAACAACAAATTTATTTTAAGGGGAAGGGGGAGTCTCAAGGAGGCAAAGGAGGCAGCTGCGGGGAGTGGAGGCTTCCCTCTGCCTCTCTGGGCTGACTCCGTTGTCCTTGGCCTGGGCCTAGGGGGCTGAGCTCTGCCCACAGCTCTGTCTTTTGTCCGCGCCCGAGAAACCCGCCAGCACAGAGCAGTCTCCCCGGTGCCCCGACAGCTCTGGCCCATTACTGGTCCTTCCACAGCCCACCTCTTCCTGGGCCAGCCCCAGGCCTGGCCCCCCTGCTCAGTCACCCCAGGTGCTAGGTGACCCAGGAGCTGAAATTCCTGATGTCCCCAACGACTGTGTTATTAGGGCCCCCACACCTTCACTTGGGTGTTTCCCACAAGCCTATGGAGCACACGTACAGTAGAAGGTCTGTCTGGGAAAGCAGCCTGCGGCCCGGAGAAACCGCAGGGGGTCAGCCTCAGCAGCATCTTCCAGACATTCCTAGAAGCAAGGTGAGGAAGCCAACTTCTCTATGTGGTCCCTTGTGGCTTTATCATGGCAAATCCCTACAAACAAGGACAACCTCATCTATTGTAAGTTCCTAGAATCTGAGTAATTTTACATTTCTGTGGGTTATTTGATTACAGCAAGGTGGGATGGGTAATCTTAGCTAAATAGCAGGTGAGACAACCCAGTGTTCATTTAAGTACCATTTCCACTGTAATAACAATCACCACACAACAAGGTCCTCATGGCCCGTTTGTTTCAACATGTCCTCTAATGACGTTCTAATTAGAGAGCACGTGGTAAAATTTCCCCTTTCTTGGGATGTTTAATAATGGAACTTGACCCATAGATAAGAGCAGTTTTGAAAGCTAAGCCAGGTCCATGGACAGATGAAAAATAAGAAGCCCAAGGTCATACACCAGCTCAGAGCCAGACAGCTCTGTTCTAATGGAGAGCTGAAGCTGCCACCTGCATTCTGCACCTCTGGGGGCCTGGTTCCTAAAAGAGGTGGGAGAGCAACTCAAGGAAAGCCCTTGCCCTGCAGGAGCCTGGCAGAGTCCTAGAAGTGCAGTGACCAGCCGCACAGCCAGTGAAGGGCATGGCTGATGATGGTGTGGTGGTGGACGGGCCACCACGGCCAGGATTTATGGAGTGCCTCAGACCTCAGCCTCAGCCAGCCTTCTGTGCCCAGTGCAGCCCTGGTGTCTGGCTTCCTGGAAGGGCTGTCAAGGTCACTCTGACTCATGTGACGGATGAAGGACAATTCAGGATCTGCAACCACCGAGTCCTGGAATGCAGCCTTCCTTCTGCTAGAAAGAATCATTTGATGCAACACAACTCTTCTGGGTGGAACGCGTGTCAAGAGGACGGTTGCAACAGGCTCCCTGAGTTCAAATGAGACTGCTCCTTAGTGACACTGACAGCACTGCATTGTCCAGGCGGCCAGGCCCATGACGTATTACCTGGCAGGTTCGGGTCTGCACAGAAAGGGGCAGCGCCTGGGCCTCAGGAGGCACTCTGCCCTGACCAGTGGTTGGTGGTAACAGCCTTCACAGCAACAGCTTTCTCAAATACCCCCTCAGCTTTTCAAGGAATGTCCTCACCTGCTATTTATACTTGTCTTCTTGGTCTCCCCCAACCCCTGCTCTTCCCCAGCTGCTGAGAAAGTGACTTGCCATTTTTGTTTCCCCAGAAGGTCCGGGTGAGCCTGGAGTCGTGACAGTGAGCACAGCTGTAGCCGTGACAGTGGACGAGAAGACAGCCATTGCTGCAGGTAGGCGCTGCCCTTTGTGCCGCCGAGGCCGGGAAGGTGTGAGTCGATGTCAGGAATAAGGCACACGGTAATAGCAGGAGGACCCCTGCCTATGCAGGGCCACAGTCCTCGGCTGCGAGTTTCCCCGGTGACAGGTGGAACAGAGGCTAGTGGAGTCTTCCCAGGCCATTTTATTTGTCAAACAGAACCACCTTGAATCTTAAAGAATTTATGAAGTGAGTAAAATGAAGCCCAGAGAGGTTAAGAGATCTGCTGAAGGTCACACAGGACGGAGACTGCAACCCAGACCTGCTTCCCACCCCTCGGCATGCTGCTTCCCTCTTCCACCACCGCGGGTCTAGTGTCCCTCTGAAGAGAACGGGGCTGTGACTCAAATCCTAAAGTAAGAGCTCGCTGTGTGCTCGGCATGTGCCCAGCCCCAGGGAATCTGCTTCCCATGCGCACTCCCGTTCAGCCCTCAGGGTATCCAGTGAAACCGAGACTTTGGGCTCCATTTTACAGATCAGGAAACTGAGACACAGAAAAGTTATTTGCCCAAAGTCTCACAGAGAATAAATAATGAAGCTAGAATTTGAACTCAGATCACCTCTCTTTAAGGCCCAGGTTCACTATCCTGTGTTGCAATTTGCCTCAAATGTGATGAATGGCTCTCCCGAGCGCCCTTGACTTCGCAGTTTCTTAGTGCCTAAAAAAGCCCCGGGCACCTGTCTCGTTATCCGACAACCACCATGTCCTGGAACACAGCCTGTGTTCAGCTTCCACGTCTCAACTTCAGCTGAGTTCTGAAAAGTTGCACGATCAATGGCCACTCGAGCATCAGCCATTATGCCTCCTTGAATCAGGCACCTGTCCTGCTTCCCCGGGGACCCCTTAGCCATGAGGAAGCACTCAGCAGCTGCAGTGGGTGAGGCAGGCAGGACCTGTGCCCCTTCTCCCCTCAGGCTGAATTCAGGGCAAAGGGGATGGAGGAGTAGGCTGGGGTCAGGCAGAGAAGGTCCAACCCTGTCTTCCTGGCTAAGGAGGGCACAGGTCAGGCTCCTGGCTGCTTTCCACCCTGGGACAAGGGGTGGGGGAGAGTGACTTGGCCTGATGTAGTTCAGCACCCACGTTAGGAACACTCGCATATGGACCATCTTTAGGATGCGCCAGCCCAGGGTTTGAAAGGCACCAGGCTGTCTCAGGCACCTCTTTTTTCTTAGTCCAAAGCTAATTCGAAATCCATTTCTAGGCCAAATTTTTACCCCAAACTTGTCTCTCTAAAGCAGTGGTTCTCAACCTTCTGGCCTTTTAAATACAGTTCCTCATGTTGTGACCCAACCATAAAATTATTTTCGTTGCTACTTCATAACTGTAATGTTGCTACTGTTATGAATCGTAATGTAAATATCTGATATGCAGGGTGGTCTTAGGCGACCCCTGTGAAAGGGTCGTTTGACCACCAAAGGGGTCGCGACCCACCGGTTGAGAACCGCTGCCCTAAAGACTGTTCTGTGGTCCCAGTTGAGTCTGTGCCTGTCCTGCTCCCTCCATATCCTGGGCCTTCTCCGCTCCTGCACACCTGGGAGCCGAGGAAAGAGAAGGGACACAGGGTCAGGCTGCTGGCTGGGCTCTCCTGCACTCTCCAATTATTTGAAATCATTTTTAACACAGAGCTGATTTGGAGCTGCGAAGGGTTGTCATAGAAACTGTGTCCTGGTGCCTCTGGCTTAACACACTGCAGGCAGTCGCTCTGAAGCTCTGGGTGCCTAGATGTGACAGGAAAAGGATGAGGCTCTGGAGACCTTCAATTATCTGGGGCTCTTCTCTTTTAATTTCCTCTCTCTGGCCTATGGCTCCGCCTCCCTGATCCTGGCCCAGTGGGGGCCTCTAGCTCCAGGCAGGGTAGGCAGCTTGTTTGCTGACCTGGCAGTTTCATCCGTTGGAAACTGGTGGCAGTGCGTGATGTGAGCTCCAGGAAGGATGAGCATGTGTGGTCTGTGCCCTGGGAGAAGGGCACTCAGACCAGCCAAAGAGGCCAGCCACGCGCCAGGCAAAGGTTTGTCTAATGCCACAGGTTCGTACAGCGGGCAGATGAATGAGGAGGGATTCTTTTCATCTCTAAGCAGGTGATTTAGCAACAGTTTTTGCAAAATTTCTATAAACCTAACTTTTTAGTCAGGATCTATTTTCAATTCTCCAAGCCCTAGTTAGGGAATATTGACAAACATAATGCCGGTGGGCACCATACTCTGCAAGTGTGTTTGTCTACCACACGTTCTGCAATACACACGTGCCCCTGACAGCCTGTGTGCTGGGCCTGCTGCCTGGAGCTGCACAAGGCTCCTCTCCTTAGGGTTCTGCCCACAGGTGAGTGGGCCTAACCAAAGACCTGTGCGCACTCAGGATGGGACTTGGATATGCATCTTCGTATTGCCCAGACTTGCGCCACACTTGTGAGGGGCCCTGTCCTCACAGCTGCTGTGGGGCCCAGGGCTGCTACAAGAATTATGGCTCCAGGAAGGAGGGAAACGCCCCACAGTTATCACCACCTGAAAAGGGGAACAGCCTGGTTCTACCAGGAGTCCTGCTGAGCTCCAAAAATGGGGTCCCTGATGGTTTGCTTCTCCCTGGGGTTTGCTCCTGGCTCACTGGAGTAGCATCCAAAGGAAGGCTGGGAAGGAGAACATTCCATCTTGGTCTCTGAAGACTAATGAACCATGCAGTCCAGGCCCATCAGCCAGAGGCCAGTCCAGGCCTAGAGGAGGGTCACTCGGGCTTGGGATGGACGAGCAACCCCAGAGGACTCGCTCTCTCCCTCATCTCCTCTCCTGGTCCCCCCAGCCCATAATCCTGATTCCCTGCCTGCTGAGCCCTGTGGAGAGATCATATTTGTAAGCCCAGAGTATCATCTGCCTGCCCCTGAAGTCAGTCTTGAAAGTGCAAGATGGTATTAGGTGAAACAGGCTCCTCCTTCGTGTCAGCAAACCTCACCAACTCACTGAAGCTGATAAAACCCAGTCAGCAAGAAGTCCTCTAACTGCTCTTAGGGGACCTTCCATTACACAGTGGGGTCCTCTGGGCAGATGTATGCCTTCCTGCCACACGGGCCCATCTGCCCTGGACTCTCAGGGTGAGTTCACTCAAGCCAGGGTAGATGAGCACCCACAGGGCACGGAGCAGTGATGGGTCTCACTCTTTAAGCCACGCTGCTGCCCCGTGAAACCAGCCTGAGGTTCATGCACCCTCCTGTCAGGCCAGCACATGGCTGAGCTTGCTGCACTTGGCCCCCACTCCTCCCGGTGCACCCCAAGGCGAGGCCATGGGAGGCTCCCACTGTCTGACAGCTCTCTGGACATCAGGGTGACATCTGGCAGCACTTTGTGCAGCTGCTTGGGGGTGGGGGACAGGAAGCCACTCTCCCAGCATTCACATCCCCTCCCCACCCAAAGAAACCAGGAAGTACATAGGAAAATACAGTCTTTATTGGTCTTCTGAAACAACAAACCAGAAATATAATTTTGCCTTTAAAAATCTTCTGTCTCAAGGTGAAGATACCACTATTGACAATGTCCACCCCTCCCCCATTCCCTTTAGGAAATCCCCACATCTGGTTTCAGCTGGCAAACCAAAAGAAGGAAGACTGTGCCCCACACAGGGGAGGGCATTTAGCAGCCTTGCTGGGGCGCCCTCGGCACCCCTGTGCTGGAGAATGGCCTTTCCAAAGGCAAGTTTGCCTCTCCTCCAAGCCCTCTCCCCCACTATGCTCTTCTATGAGATACAAGGGTTGAGGGGTGCAAGCTGAGCTGGGCCTGCCCTGTCCTTCCTCAAACCCCGGCCTCGTGTTCTGGCAACCTCTTCCTGGGCCACCACTGAGTGACCTGAACCCTACCCAGCCCTCTTCTCTGCCATTCCCGCAGCTCTGCAAGCAGGCATCTCTGGCCCTTTGGTGTAGGTTCAGGCAAGGAACAAACAGGAGCCCTGGCCCTTGCTCTGGTTTGGAGCCCAGTCCAGGTGCAATGGAGAACTCTGGGGAGCCAGACTGAGCAGACCAACCCGTGGGAGAGGGAGCCCCATCACGGGAGCCTCTGAGCAGAGTGCGGCAGTCTCTGTGTGCGAGATGTGAGCAGGCAGCGAGCTTCACGGAGGCCACCTGCTTTCCCAAGATGTCACCAGGCACAGAGCATGGCCCAGTCCCCACCGGAGGTCACGGGCCCAGAAGTGCTGAAGAAGGAGGGGAGGGGTGCAGAGCAATGGTTCTCCGGCTGCGGGCTGCGGGCTGCAGGAGGGGAATCGGTGGGTGTCCCCATGGGGCTGGCAGTGATGACGCACTTTGGCCCCCTGGGCTCTCAGGAGGCTGCCATCCACAGGCACTGCAGCCTCAAGGCCTCTGGGCTGCTTCCCTGGAAAACCCAGCAGGACAGGTGAGAGGGTTACCATGGTGACGGGCAGGCTCATCCACTTGGCCCACTTTAGAGGATCTCAAAGGCATCCTGTGCTGTCAGTTTGGGTTTCTCTCCTTGTTGACTTGAGAAGATGGTGATAAGCAAGCGGAAGTTTCAGTGCTGAGGGCTAGACACCCAAGGGGAAGCACGCTCTGCTCCCCGAGTTCTCCTGACTGTCTCCATGTGACTGTGTGTGCACGTGTGTGGGATTTTTTCAGTTGATGTGATTTCGCTGGTGATGCTATGAGTTAGTGTGAGAGTAAATTAGTGAATCCAGGAGCAACGCGGTCGGCATGGTCTCTAGCAGATACAGGGGCATAATGGCTTCAGCCGAGGGAGTGTGTTGCAATCACAGCGTGGTGTTTCTAAGTGCTAGATCCCGATGACAGGGCTGCTGGGCTTGCACGTTAGTACCAGCTTCTGAAAGCTGGACCCAACTTTCACACTGAAGGGTGGTTAAGAATATCTTCCTGACTTAAAAGAGAGTCACAGAAATGAACCCCTTGCCCTCACATTACTTCCTCCCCAGCCCCTAATGCAGATGAGAGAGGTTGAGCAAGAGGTAGGGAGAGTCACCTA